GCACTTTGGAAGAATGTTTGGCAGAATCTTCTACAGCTGGGCATCTGGGTTCTCCGAGGCCCAGCCAGTCTACTCCTAGGTGCATGTATGCATGCCCCTAAGACAGATACAATGGCCCCCAATTATCGCTGGTGTTCACACCTCTGGGTAATCTCTTCCCCTTGAGCGTAGGTGGGACCTGTACCTTATTTCTGCCTAGCACAATGCTGCAAAGGTAATGGGATGTCATTTCTGTGATTTTGTTACGTAAGATGGTTAACTTCCATCTCACTAGGAGACTCCCTGCATTGACTCTCACTGGCTTTCATGAAGCAGGCCACCTTAGGGAGAAGCCCACCCGGCAAACAGCGAGTGGGGGCCTCTGGCTAACAATCCTCAAGGAACTGAATCTTTCCAACAACCACATGAACTTGAAAGTGGATCCTTCCCCATCTGAGTCTCAGATGAGACCCCTGGCCTTGGCCGACCCCTTGGTGCAGCCCGTGAGAGCCCCTGAGCAGAAATCCACCCACTCCTAACAGAGGCCGGATTCCTGACCCACGGAAACTAGGACATGATAAAGGTGTGTTGTTTTGAGCCACTATGTTTGTCGTAATTTGTTATGCAGGAACAGGTAACTACCTACCCCCGTGGAATGCGGTACAGCAGTGAGAATGAATGAGCCAGTGACATCACACAACAAGGGCAAATCCCATAAACATCACGGTGAGTGAAAGAAGCTGGGCGGAAAATGGAATCTGTACACTTCCGTTTAAACGAAGCTCAAAATCAAGCAGAACTAATCTATGATATTGGAGGTCAGGGTGGTGGGTGGGTAATGACTAGAAGGGAGCACAGGGAGGCTTCTAGGGGCTGGCAATCTGCTTCTGGATCTGGGTTCTGGTTAGGTGAATCCATGCACTTTGCGAAAATTCTTCAAGTGTACACTTATGATTGGTGCACTTTTCAGTATTTCAAAATGTGTTATTTTTTGATAAACAAGTTTGCCAAAAATGCAGCATTTTGGAGTTGAATCCCAGTCTGACCTCTTACAAGATTTGTAACCGGGCAAGTCACCTGACTCTTCCGTGCCCGCTTCTGTAAAATGGGTTAGGCTAAGACTCGAATAAAACTGTGCACGGCATAGTGGCTGGCACCTCACAAGCCTAGATATACATTAGCTGGTTTTGCTAACCACATCCATAAAGGTCCATTGTTACTCGCAAAAAAAACAAAAACAAAAACAAAAACAGCAGAGGTTTGTTTGTCCAGACGCCTGAAAGTAGAATTTATGGAGTTGCCCAAGTAGGTACCATCCCAGAGAGACCACGTGGGTTCTCAGGAAGCCCTCCAGGGGACATCACGGGAGGGAGCTCAGTCTGTCTCCGACATCCACACCCAGAAATGTCCCAGGGCAAAGGGGAAGATGATGTGCCACTGGTCAGAGGTCACATTTGCTCTGAGTTGGGACTGAGTCTTGATGCAAATCAAAGTTCTCCCCAGGGTGTCCGTGACCTGGGGCTGTCCTCCCATATCATCCAGAAACCAAAACAAACAAACCAAACGGCCACTAATAATTGCAAACACAGAGCGAGTCTGTTGTACCGGGCGCAGTTTAATAGTTTACACTTACTGGCCCCTGAGTCCTCACCATCCCGGCCTTGGATCTCCACCGGACAGGCGGCAGAAGTGAGGACAGAAGAAATCAGAAGAACACACCCACGGTGGGATCAGCACACTTAGCAGTTTGCAAACAGAAGGCACACACCCACTCCCGTGGCAAAGCCTGAGGAACCAAGGGGACTTGACTCTGGAGACCGATTTGCAAGAGAAACGAAGGCGTTGAGCCAGCAACAGAAGAATCCATTTGAGAAAAACCTTCAAACCTGCGTGTGTTCTCATGTTCTGTCAAGGGAAGTGGACCATGACAGCGGCAGAAGGCCTCAGTGAACAGTTGGTCTTTCTGCGGTTTGAATTTATTTTTGTGAGTGTGTGTGTGTGCGTGTGTGTGTGTGTGTGTGTACGTAAATAAAACCCATATTTCCTAAGCCCAGGCTTAGGAGTCTCCAGCGGGCCGGGCGGTCTGCTCTCCCCTCTGACATCCTACTCAGCAGCTTGGCTACTTCCTGCCACCGTGCTCTCTCCCTCTTGCTCTCCCTTGCGCCTGTTCCCGTTCTTTCTCTGACTCTCCCTCACCCCACAGAGGCTGGGCAAGCCTCCCTACCTTCATTTCAATTTGGAATGCAAAGGCACGAAGAGGGACAGGCCGGTCTGGGAAGGTTGCGAAGGGGGTGCAGTGGGTGCGGTCTCCCTGATCAAGGACAGCCCAGGGAAGGGGGCTGACACAGAATGAGGTCCTACAGCGGCAGAGCTCCTCACCTTCTCCCCAGGAAGGAAGCCCAGTGTCTGGGCCTCCGAGTTTGGGGGCAGGCCCCAGCTGCCCTCTCTTGGCCCAGCCCCTTCCCCGGCCCTTTTCTCTCCTTGCTTCAGGCAAGCATTCGGTTTTACATTATTCAGTCCCTTGTACGAGGACAGCTGAGAACAACGGAGCCGGACCTCGAACCCCGGGCCCTTCAGATGCCAGCACTTCTGCCGCTGAGTCACGATACAATATGGCCTTGGTAGCCACACACAGCTGAATAACACTGATTGATTATAAGCATCACCAAGGAACCCATATACTCTAGAAACCTCTATTTTTTCCTTCAAGGGCAATATTTTTAACACCCCATCATGGCTTAATTGCAAGTTACAACCCTTTCTCTCAGTCCAAGAAATCATAAAGCCATAAGTTATAGGGGTGTTTTATGTTCTGTTTTTGAAATTAAAATGGATTACATGTTATTGCGTTTCAAGGATTGTACACACCCTTTGAGATAACTGTGGCATTTTGGGGGGAGGGGAGTCCAATCAAGATTTAGCAGTTTCTGCTCGCGTGGGTCTGAATGTCAGCTTTGCTCTCAGTTTAGAATTCTTCAGAGGGATGGGCTACTGGCGACATATGACCTCTCAAAGACTATCTGGGGCCTTGGGCTGCTCCAGCTCACGGCCAGCCTGGCTTCCGCTAGGGTCTGCCTGGCAGTAAGCAAGTTTGCATCCTGCACTCATACTGGGGACAAGAATTGGGCAAAATCAAACATGGAGGTGGAGGTCCAGGTAGGGGTGGTGCTCAGGCCTCCCGTTAGCCCACTGCCTGGGCAGCTGGCAAGAGAAGTCAATGTCCTGGGATCAGGACAGATCAGCTCAGCAGCCCAAGAAGGTAGGAAGTCAGGCTGTGGGTGAGTGTTGGGGGCAGGGTCTGTCCCCCCCACACGCCATTCACTCAGGCACTGTTCTAGGTACTCATGACCCAGCAGTGAACTAAACAGAAAAAAACTCCCCGCCCTCCTGGAGGAGGGTGGGGCAAGGAGACACACGAATGAGATAAATCAAATAGGATGTTAGATGATAAGCGGTCAGATGAGAAGAAGAGGGAGAGAGCGTCGAGGTTTTTGTTTGTTTTGTTGTTCTTGTTGCTCTTCCTTGTTTATTGGGTTTGTTTTTTTTTTTAAAGAATTTGAAGTAGGGCAGTATTTGAGTAAAAATCTAAAAGAGGTGAAGGAGATCCCTGGTGGAAGTGCTTTCTAGGGAGAGGAAACATAAGTGCAAAGGCCCTGCGGCAGAAAGGCCCTGGGGAGTTGAGCCTGACCCTCCCTGTTCCTATGAAGCTATTATTACTTAGGCCCTAGTTTCTGTGGTCACTCTTCCAACTTTAGGCCCAAGGTCTTTCTGGTTGTGGGGAACTGACTGACCCCAGGCACAACCTTCCAGGCTGTGTGAGGCCCTGGAAGAGATTTCCAGGAATAGGCCCTGGGGAAGGTCTCTGCAGTTCAACTTCCCAAGACAGGGTTTTGCCAAGTTTGTAAGAAATGCACATTCCTGAACCATGCTCCTCCGCATTTGCCTGCTCAGAATCTGTGATCGGGTCTGTGCCTGGGAATCTGCATTTCTAAAAGCCTCTAGGCATGTTTGAGCATCTTCACTATGTCCATTTCCACAAGTTCTCTCCTAGATCTTGTTCTAATTGCCTAGCATAGAATCTGCCACATTCCATCTTTCTTAAATGTTTTTTGAGTTTTTCCAGAGGCACCTTGCCGGCCATTTCCTGCCGGGGAAGAGAAGCATTCTCTAGGTAGGCAGATTCGGCTGGGCTGTTCTGCTCCCAGGCAGAAGGTGACATGGGGGTGGTGGGAGATCTTTGGGATTTGCATGTTTGCATTGCCCCTCCCCCAGTCCTGCGCCCATGGTGGGGGTTTCAAGGATAGTGACCGATGCAAGTCAACTCTGGGGACTCAGGAGATGTTTGTAGAGATAAAGAACAAATGGCCGAAAAAACGTCGGTTTTGACAGGGAAGGACAGGAATCGTAGTGGGGTTGGCGGTTTGGAAGTATCCTTTCCCCAGCACATGGAAAAAAAATCCTCATTCTTTCAAAATTGTTCCTTCCACCCCATCCGTCTCCCATCCCCATGCCCACCGCACCCCCAGAAGTGGTGATCCCCCCCCCCCAGCTTACTCTATTTTCTGCAACAGAGAGGAGTAGAGATTCGGGTGGGGCAGGGGGTTCTAACCTCTAAGCTTTATCGCTTCTCGGCCTTTTGGCTAAGATCAAGTCTAACCTCTAAGCTTCTCCTGGTTCAGCTCCATCACCCTGCCACCCCGCCTCCACGCACTCAGCCTAGAGCAGAGAGTAGGAAGAAGGACTCTCGAGTCTGCTCCTTCCTCGCTGGAAATCCGCGGGCTATTTCTGTGACCTCTGAGCCTCCGTTTCCCCATATGTGAAACGGGCCCGGGGATCCCTAGCGGCAGACCCCGGGATACTTCCAGGCGCTGCAGCAGGCTGTGATCCTCTAGGGTTGTCCGGCACACCGCCCCCCGCCCCGCCCGCCCCGCCCCCGGGCGCCGCGCCGCGCAGGCCACGCCCCTCACCAGCCCGGCGGCGTTGCCATGGCAACGCGCGTACACAGGCCGGGCGGGCGCGCGAGGTGCAGGCCGCCGGCTGGAGACTCCGCGGGAGCGCGGCCAGGCGGCCTCGCCCGGGAGCGGGCCGGGCTCCTCCCGAGCCCGCCGGCCTCTCGGGAGGGGACAGAGCGTGGGCTTCTGCCTCCGGCCAGGTGAGTGCGGCACGGGAGGAGGCAGCGGGCGGAGACCTGGGGCCGGACCCGGTCGGCTCTGCGAGCTCAAGAGTTCGGAGGCGAGGTGCAGGACGCAGCCCCACCCCCAGCTGGAACTCCTCTCCGATCCAGGCTCCGGTCCCCAGGAGCACCTAAAGGAGGTGCTCCAACACCAGCCCGTCCTCCCTGAAATGCAGGCCCCCAACCCGCTTCCAGAAGTAGCCTGCGCGGGAGCTTCCGGACCCTCCTTGGCACCAAGCATACTGCTCTTAGATATCCAGTGGGGTACAACTGGGATTAGGGAGGGGTGCTTTCTGGTTCCCCTGATTTAGAGACAACACCCACCCAATGGCCAGAGGTTCCCTTACCTGACCTTCCCTTCTTTGAGGAACTTTTGCAGCTCCCAGGCCCCTGAAGACCTGTAGCCCTGAAAAGACATACTGCTTCTCTAGCCCAATTCTGAGCCATCCCAAGTGGTCAGGGGGTATGCAGGTGATTTGCTCTTTACTATGCTTGGTACTTCACAGCACTAAGAGCGAATTTCCAGAATTTAGCACATTCAAATTACTTTCTACAGTGTTTTCAGGCAGGGGAGTGACTGCACAGGGCAAGATTAAGATGGAGAGATAGTGTCCAACCCAAAAGCTCCAGGTAGAATTTAGGGTTTCCAAAAAGGATATCTAGGGTAGACACCGGGCGGGAAGATTCCTAGCCAGCTGGCTGCACAGATTTGCTTTGACGTGTCATTTACATTTTCATTCATTCAGCAACTGTTTACTGAGCATCTACTATGTGTCACCCGGCTGCAGGTGCTGGAGACGGGGTAATGAACAAAACTGTGAGGAACTGCAAAGGGTCTGAGCTTTTACCTTGCTTGCAACCTAATAAGTTAGCCTGGCCAGCTTATAGATGCTGGCAGAAGACACAGGACAAAATTTGTCAATGCCTTTGCTCCATAATGGGTACAAATACAAGGTACCCATGAAGAATTGTCTCTTAACAGAAACAATACAGTTCTGGCTCTCCGGGAACATATATCTCAGTGAAAGGAAAATAAACGGCAAACACAACTAAATAAAGGAACCAGAAAATGTCAGAGGTTGATAAGCACAAAGAAGGAAGCACAGCAGGTGGTATATGCCAATAGTGACTGAAGGGTGCCTTTAACTAGCGTGGTCAGGTGGTTGCCATACAGGGGGGACACCTGAGCAGAGAGAAGACACCAGCCTTGGGAACATGTAGGGGGAGAGCTAAAAATCAAGCATGCACACGACCCAAGTTCTGGGGTTTAATTTAGTAGCATTTCCTGTGGTTTTCCTACAGAAGAGACTTTTCTCCTGAGTTTGCATTCCAGATTAATTAGGCTTGAATGTGTTGCTTGATAACATGGTCCTCTGCCATTGAAGTGAATAACTGAAGTGATTTGACAGCTAACAGAGCACGGTTCTTTGGAAAGAGGAAATGTCTCTCCCTTTCTGTGAATGACATTGAACTTAAAATGTATTTCTCATTACAGGAAAACATATTTGTGAGGCGTAGCTCTCAGAGTTTACAAATATAAAATAAACTATCTAGCTTATTTTTATTTCTCTTACCCCCAGGTTGGGTCTCTTCTTCCTTTCAGAGGATGGAATCTGGGTGTCAAGGACTTTCTGACATGTCCCAGTTGTCAAGAGACAGTGCAACTTCCCCCACCCCTCTCTGTCCCACCCAGCAGCAGTGGACATATGGGAAATTGAGCTGCCAGCCGATTGTTACATGCAAAGGCTCAGAGCTGTCTCCCTGACACTTGGTGCTGTGTGTCCTTAACCCCTCTGAGTCTCAGTTTCCCCATCTGTAAAGTGGGACAGTACTAATACCTACCTCACAGGGCTGTTCCGAGGAGGAAAAGAGACAGTGTGTATAAAAGAATAGCACAGTGCCTGGCACTTAGGAGGGATTCGGTCATTGATGATGGAGATGTGGATGAAAAGCAGAACCAGGCCCGAGACCCTCAATGATCACAACTAGATGGTCTTTGTCTTTATCCACAGTCCAATAGCATCGCATTTCAGTGACCTTTTAGTTGAAAAGAAAAGAGAGGGACTTCGGCTCTTGGACACGGCACTGAGATGGAGGATGTCCCACTGTGTAACTGGACATACCTCAAATCAGAATTCAAGCGTCATATGAATTATCGACGTTTTGGAACCTACTGAAGTCACTGAGATTTTTATATTTTAAAAAACCAGTATAGAACTTACTTTGGAATGCATCAAACTACAAAATGGATGGATGCATGGCTAGATGGAGGGTTGTGTGATACAGCAAATAAGGCAAAATATCAATTGTAGGATCTAGGTGGTGGCTATAAAGGAATTCACCTGTGTATCTGATATTTTCAAAAAAAATGTTGGAGGAAAATATGTACAGAGTCTTGATCATATGTTCAAGCTAGAGTCTTGATAGTTTGCCTTTCAAAGTTACCCTTTTCCCCCTAATTTATGAAGAAACGGAGTGATTTACAAAGAAAGTGTCTTTTAAAGCCCATTCCCTCAATGACTAACTCTGCAGTTTCAGAAGCTCTATAGAAGGTTAAACTTCCTTGGGTTCAAGTTCGATAAGCCCAAGATTCATAATATTAATAATAATAATAATAATAGGACAAATGTGTGGTTAGTGCATAGCGGTCACCACCCCAAAAGCTTCACACACATGATTGCATTTCATCCTCACAGAACCCTTTGGGGTACAGAGTATTAACCCCATTTTACAGATGAGAAAACTGAGGCATAGAGAAAGAAGTAACTCACCCAAAGTCACAGAGCTAGTGTGCGGTGGGTTAAGAATATGGGACAGAATACCTCCTGTGTCAGATAACTAACATCGTACTGAGCTTCATGGGAGGTGGACAGGGATTATCAGCGGAATTCAGGTTTGTCGTTGGGGTGTTTCTGCTTTTGGTGGTTTGGGTACTGAGTTATGTAAAAAACGTCTTCTGTATGATGATCAGAACCAAGCTCATCTTTGCTAGATGTCACTGCTTAAAAAGATAGTCTTAAAAATCTGCAGAAATTGTGCTCAAACTGTAAAGTCCATTTATCCTCTCCAACCTCTGCTGATTTCTCCTTTAACATGACGGTGCATTTCATCCATTCTAAATGTGATGTTGAATAATCAGAAGATTGCGTGTTCCTAATAATGTTTTTTTTTCTTTCTGAAAACCTTCTATAGGGAAAGCAGAGAGTATGAAAGCTTACCTAAAGAGTGCAGAAGGCTTTTTTGTCCTGAATAAAAGTACTACTGTTGGAAGGCATGAAGACTCAGACCTTGTTTTAGAGGTAAGAACTGTTCCTGCCCACTCCCAGCATCTCACCCCCTCCACACGTCCCTGCTGTTCTGTGGACTCGAGTCTCTTTTAAAAGCACACCCTCTAGCTAACAGCCACATCCTCCCTCCATGTGCAACCCATAACTACCTGCGGAATGTACTGGGTCTCCTCAGCATGTGTAGTGAAAATGAGTATGAGATAGAGTGGGATGTGCCCTCTGCCCTTTGCTGACCATGTGTACGGATGCCCCACCCACCGTCCCCTCCCCCCAGACAAATGGGGCCATTTGGAAGGGGGCATGGAGCTCATGCTTTGCCCTTCACCTGCTCTGAGCCTGACGGCAAGGGCCACCTGAAGTACTCAGCTTGAGAAATGGCCTCTCGCCTTTTCCAGAGCTTTTGGAGACTATTGTGATGTGTATAACGTTTTGAGAATGTTGTATAAATGGAATTATACCACGTGTGACCTTTTGAGATTGTTTTTTTCTCACTCAACATAATGTCCTTGAGATCCATTTAGGTTGTTCGCCTGTTCCTTTTTATTGGGAGTAATATTTCCGTGGTGTAGATGTACCATTGTTTGTTTAACCATTCATATATTAAAGGACATTTTGATTGTTTCTAATCTGGGGTTGTTACAGATAAATCTATTTATGAACATTTGTGCACAGGTTTTTGTGTGAAAGCAAGTTTTTATTTCTCTGGGATAAATGCTCAGGAGTGTGATTGCTGGATCAGATGGGAAGTGTATGGTTTCTAAAGAAACTGCTAGACTGTTGTCCAGGGTGGCTGTACCATTTAACATTCCCACCATCAAATGTATGAGACACGGTTTCTCTGCATCTTCACCAGCAACTGGTGTTATCACTGGTTTTTAATTTTAGCTGTTCTGGTGTGTCGTGATGCCTCCCCGTGGTCTTCGTTTGCATTTCCCTAATAGCTAGTGATGTTGGACATCTTTTCATGGACTTATTGGCCTTGTGCACATCCTCTTTGGTGAAATGTCTCTTCATGTCTTTTGCCCATTTTCTAATCACATTGTTTGGTTTTTAACTATTGAGTTTTGAGAGTTTTTTAAAAAATAATTTTAGAGACATGTCCCTTTTCAGATACAGAGGCTGCAGATCATTCCTCCTTGTCGATAACTTGTCTTTTCATTCTCTTAACAGAATATTTCACAGGGCAGAAGTTTTAGATTTTGATGAAGTTCAGTTGATCATTTTTTCTTTTCATGAATCATGCTTTTCATGTCCTGTCTAAGAATATATCGCCAAGTCCTTGATCCCGAGGATTTCTCATGTTTTTTTATAAAAGTTTTATAGGTTTGTGTTTAAATCTATGCACCATTTTGAGTTCATTTCTGTATATGACATGAGATTTAGGTCAGGGTTCTTCTTTATTGCATGTGGATATGTAGTTGTCCCAGCACCATTTGTTGAAAAGATTGTCCTTTCTCCATTGAAATACTTTTGGAACTTTGTCAAAAACCATCTAGCCATACTTGTGTGGGAGTGATTTCCAAGTTTCCTATATGTTTCGTTGATCTATGTGTCTGTCCCTCTACCTGTACAACACAGTCTTGATTACTGAAGTTATGTAAGTCTTGACTCAAGTAGAGTGATTCCTTCCATTTTATCCTTCTTTAAAAAAATTTTTTTTCTTTTTACCTATTTTAGTTCTTTTGCCTTTCCACACCAATTTTAGTATAAGCCTGTCTATATATACAAAATATCTTGCTGGAATTTTGATAGGAATTGTATTTAAGCCAATATATCAGTGTGAGAAGAATTGATATCTTTAGTATGTTGTCTTCCAATCCATGAACATGGTATGTCTCTCCTTCTATTTGGGGGGTCTTCGATTTCTTTCATAAATGTTCTGTAGTTTTTAGCATACAAGCCCTGTACATGTTTGGTTAGATATGCACTTAAGTATTTAAATTTTTTTAATGATTGTAAATGGTATTATATTTTTAATTTGGTTTCCACATGTTCATTAATAGTATATAGAAATACAATTGATTTTTGTATGCTTGTGTGGTATCTTACAATCGTAACTAAACTTTCTAGAAAGTTTTTTTTGTTTTTTGTTTTGTTTTGTTTTAGAGATTTTATTCATTCATTTGACACAGAGAGAGAGCTCAGAGCACGCAGCAGGGGGAGCAGCAGAGGGGGAGGGAGAGGGAGGGAGAAGCAGCCCCCCCCCAAGGAGGGAGGCCAATGTGGGGTTTGATCCCAGGACCCTAGGATCATGATCTGAGCCACGAGCAAATGCTTAACCGACTGAGCCACCCAGGTCCTCCTTGAAAGTTTTTATAGATTTTTTGGGATTTTACACATAAACAATCATGCCATCTACAAATAAAAAGTTTATTTCTCCTTTCAGAAAAGGAGATCTTAAATACCCTTAATTTCCTTTTTCTTGGTTTAATGCACTGGCTAGAACATCCAGTACTCTGTTGAATAACAGTGATCAAAGCAGTATAAATCTTTATAATTGCTTATTCCTAATTTTCTGAGAGTGTTTATCAGAAGCTCTCAAATTTAAAAGTATCTTAGTGGACCTCCCCTTGAGGTTCTTATCCATGATGTGGTCTCCCTACAAGGAAGGACACAGAAGTCTCTGTTCAGTGCACAAAGTGGGGAAAAAGAAGAAGAATTGCAGATTCTTCTTTATCACAACAAGGGACAGGTTTTAGGTAGTTTTATTTCATGTCTGGCCAAAGTAGAAACAGAGATCTGTGTTTTGAACCCGAGTATGATATTAGAAAACTGTAGGCTTTGGAGAGAGACAGATCTGGGACTGAATCTCATTAGGCCACTGGTTGGCTGTGTGACTCCAAGCAAATTACTTGATTTCTCTGAGCTCATTTTCCCTGTCTATAAGCCACTGATCTCACAGGGTTGTGGTAAGGAATAAGTGAGAAATGCACATAAAATGGCACATGATTCTAAGTAAATGACACCATGATCATTAATATGGGCTCATAAAATGGAGATTGAGAAGAATCCTTCAAGGTGCACAGGATTAAGATGAGGAGCCACTGATATTAACAAGCTATATGGAAAAAGGAACTAATGAGGACAATTTTTATATAGACAGAAATTGAGTTGCATTCACTATATAAAAATAATTGACCACCTGCTGCTCCTCAGACTTAGTTTAAGAAGTCACCCCCGCCAGCCACAGTCACATTGATTTATGAAGCAATCGGCTGTGTTTCCAGAAGCACAAGCTCATCTTGGCTCCCTAGAGAACAGATGACACATGAATTGCCAAATGTTTTGTGAACAGACTTTTGATGGGCGCTTCTATCTTCTCTTAAACAAATCCTCTTCCCCAAGCTTAAATGGATTTGGGAGAGGAGATTTGTTTAAAAGGGGTTGTGGGGACACGGGTCCATTTTGAAAAATTGAAACCTGCGGACGTGTCAACATTTTCTAGTTTTATAAAACAAGACAAGGTGAAAATTGCTTCTCTGCTGACTTCCTTGAGCCTTTCTGATGAGAAGAATCACCCTTGATTAGCTATGGGCCACCCTGAGGAATCATTCACCAGTCAATTTATAGTTTATGTTATTTGTACCACTAGAGGTCATTTCACTAAATAAAGTTCAGAAATACATATTAATAAAAGGTAATCTTCAAAATTACCCAGAGGTTACATCTAGCAAATAAAAAAGATTGTTTTATTTACCTGAGTAAATCCTAAAGAATAGACAGTCTTACTTCTAGAGATGTATACTCATTGGCAAGGCTGACATATTGTTCTGATTGTTGATGGCATCAAATTTTGACACCATTTACTTTTTCCGATAATGGAAGGTCATTACACACTTACTGTTTTTTAAAAAATGGGAGAAAGCACGGGATAAGGAAGAAAATAAAAGTCACTTGTAATCATTTGGCTCAGGGAAACATCAATATTGATCTTTGCAGGGTTTTGCCCAGCAGACTTCTTTCTCTATCCTGTAAGGAGTTTGGTTCTCTCACAGCAAAAGGAAGCCTGTTTTCACCAGGCTAGCTTTTACGGTTGTTATCACTCATTCCTTCCACAAATATTTACCTGGAGCCTCAGCACTGAGGCAAGCCTGGGGATAAAGCAATGGTAGAATAAGTCATGGTCCCTACAGTCAGGAAGCTGCTAGGAGAGAGACACATAAGTAATAGGATCCCACAAAGACATGTATGGTTCTATTCACATTGGGGCTCTACAGGAAAGGAATATGGAGGATAAGGAAGATTTAACTAGACAAGGGGAAAGGGGAATGGCATGTGCAAAGGCACTGGGGTGGAAGAGAATATTATGAGCCCAAGGGACTGAGAGAAAACCTGTGTGTCCAGAAGAGTGGGAACGGAAAGAGCTTAAGGGATGAGTAAGCCTCCTTCAGCCACCATATCTGAAGAGTATGGGAAGACACTGAGGAATTTTAAGCAAGGGGAGAGATGTGCATTTTGAAATGACCATCCTGGCTGCCACGTGCAGACTCGCAATCAGGAGCTCTGTTCAGGGGCGCCTGGGTGGCTCAGTTGGTTAAGCGTCTGCCTTCGGCTCAGGTCGTGGTCCCAGGGGCCTGGGATCGAGCCCCGCATCGGGCTCCCTGCTCAGTGGGGAGCCTGCTTCTCCCTCTGCTCCCCATTTGTGTTCTCTATCGCTATCTCTGTCTCTCTCTCAAATAAATAAATAAATATTTTTTTAAGAGCTCTGTTCAGAATCTCCCCTCTCCCATCTTCCAGAGCTTGAAAGCCTCGGCCTTGCTCATTTAAGACATAAACCTTGTGAATTTTAATTTGTGTGATCGGATGTGGCTTGTGAACTGTAATTTTTCGAGTTAGATGTGGCTGTTATTTAAATCCCACTGAGAAAGGGGTTCAGTTCTTCCAGAATGAAGAAATACTGCAAGCCAGTGATTAGAGAACTTTCCAACCGTGTCAGAGTGCTTGTGAGACTTGAACCCCTAGACATTCTGACCCAATGGGTTCAGGGTAGGGCCCAGGAATCTTCACATTAT